AGAGAGAGTGAATTCCTTGAAAATTCTATTTCCTTTGAAGAAAATAGTTTTCATGGAAAAAAATGACAATTAAATATCACAAAAGTAGGAATTTGGATAATAAAAAAAATACATTGTCCATGAAAAAATATTGGCAATCAAACACATCCTAAATTCTATTTCGTAGTGCTTATAGAAATTAAGTCCCGTTTGGCCCCCATTTTGTAGAAATGAAAATTGGTGGGATGGTTTTTTTTTATTATTATTAAATGAGTGGTTGAAAAAAAGGAAAGTTTTTCGATTTATATGTAATATTATTTTACAGAGACTTAGTTAGTACTTGGATTACTGTTGGTTTTTCCTTTTTCGCTTTTAAATTTCAAAGGGCAAATCTTGATCTCATAAGGTGGGCCCGTCCTTAATTGTTATTTTTGTACTTGTTTGGTAGGGATTTTGTTAATTAATTTTTTGACTATTAAATATAAAATGGGTCCTACGTATGAGAGAAGAATTTAAAAATGACGGTGAAAATAATGAAATAACGGTCAAAAATTGATTTTAATTTGATTAAAATCTCTATCAAACATGCTCCAAATTGAGATTAGTATAATTCGTTGGAAACCTAAGAAGTTAATTGTGTATTTTTCTTCATTCTATGCCCTTTTTTTAGAAGTAATAAACTGATTAGTTATCCGCACATTATGAAGTTGTCTACTCGTCTTCCATCTTTATCAAAGTGGATGAAGTCAAAAAGCCAGGGTATTCCAAAAGTTCCAATAAGAGAAGAGCCCTTCTGAGTGAAGATACTAGTACAGTTCTTGATAGATTTACCAAAATTAAAAAAAAGGGGGTGCTAGAAAAAATAGTCAAAAACAAAGAAATCCCTTTATTTATACCATAATCCCCAATTGCAAGGATTGTGCAAAATGGCAAATGAATCAAATGAACCATTGTTTGATGATTTTTGCTTATCTTTCCTATTCAGTGAAGCTGGAGATAGTAATCGGATTGAGTCATTTGATCTTTCTTGTGAGGCCTCGCTAATCTGTTCTCAAAATCCCGGGAATGATCCGATCTCAGAACAAGTTTCCAAGGAAGTCGCTGGAGAATCATCGAGACAATTATGTGATATATGTATCGGAAGTAAAGATTGCCACGAGATGTTCACAATTCCGAGCTGCAATCACCAGTTTTGTGCAGACTGCATTTGCAAACATGTATCGATAACAGTCCAAGAAAGTGCCGGGGTTGTAAATTGCCCGGGATTGGACTGTAAAGCTACTCTTAACATTGATGATTGCAGGGAAATCGTGCCTAAGGATGTTGTTACAATGTGGGCTGATGTCCTATGTGAGTCACTGATTCCTCCTTTGCAGAAATTTTATTGTCCGTATAAAGATTGCTCTGCTATGTTGGTTAACGATAGCGATAAGATTATAAAGGAGTCGGAATGTCCTTATTGCTGGAGATTGTTCTGTGCACAGTGCAATGTGTCATGGCATTCTGGAGTTGATTGTGAAGAGTTTCAGAAGTTGAATGACAATGAAAGACAGAGGGAAGATTTGATGGTGTATGAACTTGCAAAGCAGAAAGAATGGCAGAGATGTCCCAACTGTAAATTCTACGTTGAGAAAACCGAGGGCTGCTTGCATATCAGTTGCAGGTTAGTACTTCATCTGAGATTGGTTTACGATTGCACGTGTTTTTATAGTCTAGACGTCATAATTTCATAACGAATTGTGGTAGATCTTCATTAAGAACATGTGTCTCCACACAGTTTTGGGAGCCGGCCATACAGCATAAACTATGTCCCCAAAATAAGTTATAAGAACCATTTTTCACTATTGTCGGTTCACTACTTGGTCGAGTTGTTTACATTTCTTTTCGGGATGCCACAGATGTAGCTTTGAATTCTGCTATGCGTGTGGAGAAAAATGGAGTTCAACTCATGGTGGTTGCAGACCATAATGACAATCAAGAATCAAAGCACTTGTAGCACTCAGAGATCAACATAATCTTTTGTTTTATCAGTTCAGATTCAAACAACAACAATATTGGGGTGTATAATTGAATCTTGTTTCATTTTGCTTGTGTTTTTGCTTTATTTATAGCTCTCTTTTGCCTATTCCCATAGACATTAGGCTTTGTTTGTCTGCCATTTTTTCACATTCTACGACATTATTTTTTCTACAATACTCATTTTCAACTACACATTCTTCATTAAAATAATATTACGCGTAAATAAAAAAAATCATTCTTTTTTAACCTTCNCTACAATACTCATTTTCAACTACACATTCTTCATTAAAATAATATTACGCGTAAATAAAAAAAATCATTCTTTTTTAACCTTCCATTTCAACATCAATCACTATTTCACAATATATTACACACAAATAATGGGACACAAACAAGCACTTAGGAATATGAAACAAGTCTAAAACGACACTGAGTTTAATATTGGAATTTTGTCATGTCCGAGAAAAATGTAGATCTAAAGAGGTTGATAATTAGTAAATGTGGTAAAATATTAAAAGTTTGTCATGCTCTTAGAAAAAGAGACGAATCAGACTTTAATGTTATACCTAGTCCATATATATGCTCTTTGGTCCTTTTTCTTTATATACACAATAAAACTCATAAATTAGATTCCCTCTCCCTTCCCAACCCATCTTTACTTGTCTAAAACCGTCTCAATTATTTTAGGGTGTGAACAAAAGGATGAAAACGATAAAATATATAATTTAGGATTTGTGACACACTCTAAATGAAAGAATTTCAATCTTTAAATTAGATGAGCAATTTTGAGTTATGAAATGTCTTTTTACGGAAAGAGGCATGTTACGAGCGAAAACAATTGATTATTTTAATTTTTCTTCTACGCTGGGAAGTTTAGTTCAGTTCAATTCGATCCAAGTCAAAATTGTCTTAAAATTTAGAATTAAATGGTTTTCATCTACTAACCTGTTATTTTTTAAACCATAAATTGAACCTTCAATTTTTATAGTTCTCGAGTAGATGGGACTCAATTTAATCCGATTCTCAACTACCCCCAATAATATACATGTGGCGCCAAACATTTCTACCTCAGCCTCCATTTATTCGTCATTATTTCAAAAAAATTTTATCATAAATTTATTTTTAGGCGTATTCAATTGAGATTTTAATGGATTTTGAAATCTATTAAAAATTAGGTGTTTCCCAATTGAGATATTACTGAAATTCAATAAAATTCTTTAAAATTTAGCTATCCTCAATAACTAGTAGATTTATAAATATTTCATTAATAGATGAATTTTAAAATATTTGGATGGATTTCAAACTTAAAAATATATATAATCAAATCTTTGAAAATGTCACCATATCTGATAAGATTTTTATGGAATTTGTGGAAATCTATTTGAATCCACAAAATTCATTAGAATTTATAATTTTTTAAAACCCATCAAAATCATAGTTGTGGACATCCGTGAAATATTCTACAAGTAAATTCTAAAAATATTTAACCTCTTAATCACATGGTATCCAAAATGTCACTATTCGAGAGGGGGATCATAAATTCATATGTCAGGGCTTAACTATACCTCAAATCAATTTTAAGAGAAAATGTTTACAATTTTAAAACTCAGACGATATATATTAGATTTCTAAAATCAAACATTCAATTACCATTTCAAATCGGATTCTCCAAATAACAGATTCACCATCGAACTGAAGAGAAAAGTCACAGAGATCTATCATATTCTCGATTACCATCGTTGTAATCTAGTTGATTGAAAATAGCCGGACAATAGAGCTCATAAATTGAAAGCTATCGTCACAGTATATCAAATTTTTGAAGATGGTGACTAACACTGTAGAGTTGCTTATTGAATTGTTGACGATGGGTTTCGAATCAGATCTGAATTTGGTGGCTACTATCTCCTCTCACACTCGTTCGAGATCCATAAATACAACATCTTAAAGGTGGAGACTTGTTTGGATTTTTAATTTACCAAAATATCGATAAGAATTGACGGATTATCTAATCGAATTTCAATTTAAATTACTTGTGAACTGTCACTTCTGATATTGATCAATGGCTTGTGTAAAGTTCTTTTAGATCTATGATTTGTGAACATTGATCTGTTACCTGTGATATTGTTTCAATGGCATGTCAACAATGCTCTTAGATCATTGACCTGTAGGCATTGTTCTGTTACCTATGAATGATAACATTAAACCTATAAACTATAACACGTGACCAATTAATATTGACATGTGAATTATAACATGTGACCCGTTAACATCTGTGACTTATACAATATGACATGTAACCGGTGAATGGTGACTTGTTACCTATCAGTGATCAAGTAATATTGACCTATGAACATTTGTGACCTACACAATATGATATGTGACATCTGAAATCTAAGAATAGCTATAACCTATGATATTGATCTGCAAACATCTGTAATCTATACAATATGACATGTGATCTGTGAACTATAACCTGTGAGCAATTAATATTGACTTTTGAACTATATGCCGTGACTTATGAACTCAGTGACCTGTACAATATGACTTGTGACATGTGAATGGTGACAAGCAAACATAAATCAGTGATTTGTGACATGTAACAAGTGCACAAAGACATGTGATGTGTTATCAATTCACATGTTAGGTCATTGTGCACAGATCACAGGTCATTGCATCAATATCACAAATTATCTATTTTATGGGTCACATGTTATGTATTGGTCACGGATTAACCTAATTTTTATTGATCACAACAGTGTTTATATAATTTCAACCTAACCTAAACTTAGCACCATAACCACCATGTGCACCGCCACCGCCACCGCCACAACAACCACCACTACCATCACCTCTAATTTCACCACAACGTGTGTAAGCTTCAAGTTCTCAAGCCAATGCAAGAAAGAAACGACGTTTCTACTACTGTAAATTCCCTACTTTCCGTTGCTCCATCAGTTTCTGAATTTATAGCAGTTATACATTCCCCAAACAACGTGGTCTTTCTTATTGTCGAAGGCAAGCCTACAGCAATTATGCCTCCCCCAACTGTTCGGGTCGTCGGTTTAAATTGATGTACCAAGTGCAAATGATCAGCATGCACAATATGTTATTCACATCTCGTGCAAAGGTGAATTGAGCGCCTTGTGGAGGAGAGTTGAAGCACTTTGTTACATACTTCCCAATTTTAAGGCGTTTGCTCCGAGAGTTGAATGTGTAGAGATAGAAAAGAAAAAGAAGATTTTGAGGATGAAATTGGGTTAAAAGCTAATTGGGAGTGGGTGGAGGATTAATTTAGGTTCTGTTTGTGCTGTATTCTTTAAAAAAAAATACATTTTTAAACAATGATTTGACATTATTTTAATTACATATTTTTTAATAAAATAATATTACACGCAAATTTAAAATTTTTCCTTATTTTTTAACAACACATTCTCCATCAGTATACTATTTCAAAATACATAATTTTAAAGTAATGTGGCTCAAACACATATTTAATTTTAAAATTATTATGAATAATAAAATTATCACACGATTAGTGAATAATTAAACCTTAAACATGATTTTAGAATTCTAATCATTAAAAACTGACTGCAATGTAATTTTCACGTAACATTACTCAATTTAAGAACCGTGAGGGTGTTTGACACCCATTTTTATGGAAAAATAAATTTTAGAATAGTAGATTGATTGAAAATATGTAGATGAAAAATAAGATTTTTTTTAATTTACTTGTAATATTATTTTAATGAATAATGTGTTATTAAAAAGAAGAGAGAAAAATATAATTTGATAAAAACGGAATCAAACTGCCTGAATTTGAATCCCAAAAGAAATGAAGTGTGCTAACCAGCCCTGTTCAACTAGCATTATACAAAAGGAGTACCCAAACTCGGTGGCTCAGCAAATCCCAGTTTCCCTTAAGAAACCCTGTAATTTGATTTCAATTTTATGTTCAAGTAGTGTCCAGATTTAGTATGCAAATTCAAACAAAGAGAAAGAAATTATCCAAATAGTCTTCATGGGAGGCCAAGGATTGTGAGGGTAAGAGTTATTTGAATAGGGAGGGCTCGGAGGCCGATAACATGAATATTGCCGTCGGAGCTAGGGTTGGCGTCATCGATGACCTCTTCACCGGCAATTTCCTGGGCAAAAACTTTAATGATTCATTTCTCTTCCATAATTTGCTTCATACTTTATACGATGTTTAGGGGCATATAATTGGGGATTGTGTAAATTGATATCGCATTTATCGGGTTAATTCCACCATTCATGGCATTGAAGCGTGACACCAGAAGTGGATCGTGTAGCCAAATTAATTTTAATTACTACATTGATATTCTAAAAATATTGCGGGTAATTTGAATTGGAGTTTAATCTACAAATATTTGGCATAGGTGTATTGATGATTTTGGGCTTGTGTCTTTATTGTATTGTTGTTTTGGTTTATGTTAGCGTACATTGTGTTTGACTACTGGCAGAAGGTGACGAGATTATTTGAGTACCTTCAAGGTGATTACTACGTAGCCTTCAAGGTGATTACTACGTAAAGGTTGATTTTTCTATTATTATTTTTTTTCCAATTTTTTCTTTCTTTTTATCTATATGCATATTATTATTATTTTGTCTGAATATCTTATGTACCTTTTGTTAACACGTTAAAAGTGCAGCCCAAATCGAATAGTCCAAAGAATGAAGTCCAACTGGGCAATTCAGGATAAATGCCCAAATAAGGTTATTAATGAATGCAGTGGAAGCCCACGAATGCGGTAACATCATCGCCCAAACTTGCAAGACACCCAAAATCTGAGCGAATGAAGTGCCTTACAGTCGCCAAGGGTTATGACCCTGTTCTCGCCCAAACTTTAGAATCGCCCAAGATCTTAGCAAACATAAGATGTTATGGTTATCCAAGAGTGCAGTTATCGAACCAGTTATTAAGTGATCTTATCACGTTCCACGATTCAAGGATGTTCAGTTGAAGACGGTTGAACGACAAAGAGTAGTGGCAGCAGTTAGAAACGACAGTTCCACGATAAGTTGGCCACCATGAAGAAAGTAGGCAGTTA